TTAAGTGAGCGTCTTAATCGTGAGGGGTCTTGTATTAAGTAGCGAAAAAAATAAACAAGATAATAATATAATAAATACAATTTTTACAAATTGCAATCGGTGCGTGACATGTAACACTTTTACTTTACTCCGATTTTTTGAAAAACAATTATCTATTATTATTATGCCATTAAGGCACGCATATATAATAATTAATTTAAAACAAACTTTTATTATGAATTCATCGCAAAAAAACTAATTTTTTTTTCTTCCTTTTGTACAACTTTTGCATTTATTTGTCAGTTTTAAGGAAATATCTTTGTTACTGCTACAAGGATGCATAAGGTTTCTGATGAATAATATTTAGTAGTTTAATATATCGTTAAAAATTAGACATGCTAATTAACTTGGTCAATAAGTCATTACCCAGAATGCAAAGCTCCTTTATTAACGACGTATACTGAAAATACAAACATAAAACTTGAAATATAAAAATATTCAATTAAGCATTCATTAACATTGAATACATTAATACGATTAATTAGGATCGAATAGAACTACTGGATATCAACGCGAACTTTTCGAGAAAAATAAAACGGAAAATAAAAAATGGCATATATACCGCTAAACAAAACCAATCTACTTCAAGCCGATCCAATTATTTCGCGGGAAATCTCGCCATTAATGGGCGTCCGATAAATAAATAATTTATTTTCAAAATAGTTACAAATAAATTTGAATGCTATTAAAATTCATAAATTCCGAATAAGGACGTATGGGGAAAAAATCGCGAATTTATGCCGACAACATTAACGAGACCATCGTTTAGCAACAATTTATTATATTAATATAATTTCGTAATTAAAATAATTCGAAGGTATTATCCATGTTTCCGTATTAATTATCCTCTTGCGCGTCTTGGGTTATGTTTATGTAGGGGAATAATTAAAACAATCTCGATTCGTGATTGGAAAACCACCAACTATAAAAATTATAAAAAAATAATAAAGTGTAATGTATCATAAACGCCGCAGGCGTATCGCGAAGTATCGAAAATTATTCGAAAATTTTATTTTCTTGTTAATAGGGTAGGGTGGGGCAAGGCGACCCACTGGGGCAAAGCGGCACACCTCTAAAATTAATTAAAAAAAATTTTTTTTCGTTATTATAATTTAATGTTTAGCCTTTAAAAAGCTTAAAAATTCTAAAACAAGCTACTCAATATAATAACCGAATCATAAGTAATTTATTCAGAGTGTTATTTTATATTATAAATACCAATAATCTATAGAAAAATAGTTACTAATCAGAAATGTTATTTTTCATTAAATATTTTTTAATAAATAATTATAATGATTATACATTACATTATAAATAGGGGAGAGTGGGGCACGACTGCCAGAACGTTCGCCAAAATTTGGGTAAATTTAGTTAAACTTAGTCAAAAATAAATCGACTTGAGCCCCCCTACTTTCGACTACTTAATTTAGCAATATTAATATAAGGGGGGCTCATTTTTGTCCCCAAAACATAGTTCGGTTCCTTAAAATTACTCACTAATTTGTTTTTCTTCACTACTTTTTACAAGTCTATGTTTACAGTTCGGTACTATGCAAACATGTGCTATCTGTGATCTGAGAATCAAAAAACGCAATACCACAAAGAATTATTTTTGTTTAGGGTACATTCCTTACTTGTTAACGCTTTGTACATTTGAAAAAAAAAAACATTTTAGGATATCTGTTATGAATTTTGCTATCGAAAATCACCTCTATTAATTTGGACCATGGCTTTTCGAAAGAACCACCAGTTTTTGAAAGTCATTCGCTCAAATTAAAGTCGGATAGTTTATCCAGTCTAGTGCCAGAATGTCTAGAATCCGTAAAAACACATTTTTTAAGTCCCCAACCAACCGTAATCGTTTAAAATATATAATTAGAAGATAAGCGATATTATATCTCGATATGATAACGGGGCTTACACGTAATTTGAACCCGAATTCAAGTGGCAACAGCGTAGGCTGGCTAAACGAGAAGCCCACATGAATTGTGAAGATAAAAAGGCTATTTTTTAAAGAATGCCAGAAAGCCTAATTCCAATATTAACATTCATACTATTGATAAACATTCTTATACAGGGTGTTCGGAAATTGAGTTCGGAAACTTGGAGGAACGATTCAACGTGGTAAAATAATAGCAGTAAGTAATGCAACAACAATTCGAAATTGTAATATTTTACGAGTTACAGCTTGTGAAAATTCATTTTTTTAAATTTCATTTTTAACACAGTTTGGGAAGTTTTGTATGAAAATGGTGTTCGGACTTTTCATGTTCAATTGAGAGTAATTTTATGCAATCAAATTTTAGGAAAAAATAATTCTCGATTATTCTTAATAATTTATATTTTCTAAAATGTTAAATATGTTTATGTTCCACTTCCACTTTTTTAATTTGTAGCATACGGGTTACTTGCTTTTCCGTAACAGAAGTGTATATCGCGATATCCAGTATCACCTTTCCGAGAATAAAAAAGTCGGTTTGTGGCTAAACGCTAACAGTCATCGACTTAAAACAAGCGTAACAATTTTGGCGAATGTGTGATTAAAATGTGAAATAAAATGCAAAAAATAAAATAAAGTGGCCTCTAGTGACAGATTTCTGAAACATTTTTATTTTGTCACTATGACTTTTGCTACATGAGGGCTGTGTGTAAAATACCACCTTATTCTGTTGAGAATTAAGCAAACAGCGTAAAAAATAAAATTAAAAAAAATTGACAAGCTATAGCTCGGAAAATATTACGATTTCGAATTTTCGCTCATTATTTTACCACGTCGAATCTTTCCTTCCGAACCCAATTTCCTAACACCCTGTATAGATATTAAATTACTTTTTACACTATTTCCACGAAATCTCGCCCTGTACATTGATCCCTGACCTAACCATCTGTTCGAGCCCTAACCACCCCTGGCGGCGGGATCGTAAATCAGGCGAACGCAACGGGGAGGGGGAGTGCCACCCCCCCCCCCAAAGTCACCCTAAGCTAAACACTTCCCGGAAAAAACGAGGCCGATCAAATAGGACGAGGAGGGATCTGTCGGAAAAAATCGCCCAGATAAGGAGGGGTTAAAAATGTGGGTGGGTAGGATTTTTATTTCCCTCCTAAGATGACTAACTTCCTCGCGCCGGTGGGGACGGTCCGTTCCAGGGGAGGCGGTGGATGAATGGATGATTCATAAATTTTTATCCGCGCGGTGGGTGGAAGGGGTGTTTCCTCGGCGAGTGGGGCCGGAGGGAATTTTTTTTTCAGTTTATCGATGCGAATGTGAAGTATCAGATACTGACAATGCTGATAGTTTTGTTTCTGTAGCAGGGGGTAAGTTTTTTTCTCCAAACGGGGGCGTAACAAAATCTTAGCCTTAAGCTTTTTGTTATTTTTTATTTTATTTATGCTCCAGGGTGGCCGTCCTACCCCACTCTCCCGTATTTATAATGTTATACATAACAATTGTAATTATTTGTTAAAAAGTATTTCATAAAAAAAACGTTACTGACTTGAAACCATTTTTCTATAGATTAAAAAAATTATTATTAGATTTTAGAAAGCTAAATCCATAGCTTTATCCAAAAATAACTTTTAATTTTTAAGCGGTCCATTTTACCCCTGGTATTTCGCAAAAGGCTAAAAATGTACAAATAGCCAAAATTTATAATAATTAGAAGAAAAAACGAAAAAAAATATCGTTTAATTTTTGCCCCACCCTCTCCTATATAAATATCACGAAAATTTGTAGATTACCGTCGAAATTAAAGTTAATTTCTTACTGAATATGGAAGTTTTTCAAATAGCTTGCACAATTTCCTTTAATTCCAGAATTGATCTTGATTTTATGGCGCTTTTCAATGTTTCAAGACATTTTGTAGGTTATGTTGGTGCATACGACAGCTTTTTTTTCCCATTCGCAATTTTTAAAATATAATTTTCCAACCAAAGCGAAAACTAATGAATCTGGAAAATTATTTTTTTTATTCGCTCAAAAAATTGCATTTTTTGAGCGGCAATTCAGCGAGCACAAAAAAATAAGACGCTAATTTTTCGATTTCGGAACACTCCTCAAAAAAGCTATAACGACGAACACCCCGTACATTTTTCGGTTTCCCAGACGCACGACCGCATCGCAAATTGGCTGGATATTCTTGGCACGCGCATAATGGAGCCGAAATCTTGAAACCCGACCGGCGACCGCCGCGTTTTTGAAAATTTTAAAAATAAAATCGTATGCAATTGCGAACATGATAATGCCGCGAAAATTTTATGTAGTTTTCGCGCGGATTTTTAATTTTTTTTTTGGCATGCGCGCGTCGTATTTTCAGCGTTGACGCGGCGCCAAGAAAAATATTTAAAAATCCCGCGGCGGATTTCGAACACTTCGAGAAAAAATAACGACAGGTAATCACAACGCACCAACGTAACCACAGGATCGCGAAAAAAACACCCTCAGAGCAAAGAGCAACGCCGCCATAACCTCACTTTACCATGCGGCAGCCTCGGCAGCGTCTGATCGACGCTCCGCGCGCGTAAACCACCCTTGCCGCCTCCCCCTACCCTCCCCGCCTTCTTACCTCTCCTCCGGAGTGGGGCGGACGGAAAAAATAACAAGAAGCGTTTTTTCTCTACCCTCTTTCGTTTTTAGTAGTGGGGATGCGGCACGGGATATTCCTTAAATCTTCGCGCACGCGTGTTTTATCCAAGATAGAGGTCTAAGGATGTGCCTTCCTCGTCGCTCCCGCACGTCTTGCATCTGCCCGTCCCGCTCCCAACCCTTAGAAGCAATCGTGGTTCTCACTTGGAAATATTACAAGTTATATAAGCATATCTCTGTTTAGAGACGCGGGCCGTCTCTATCTGGAACGTTGCACTTGGGTAAGGCGGTCCTTGTCTCGAGAATTTTACAGTGGTTGTTCTTAGTCTTGTAGCGCCGAAATTAGACGATGGACGTCTTGGGCGCCGCGACGCCGGTTTCTTAGTTATCATCGGTGCTTCTTACAAGAAAGACTCGCGGGAAAGTTAGACGCCGACGCCGGAGTTCCGCACACACACACACACACACACGAACACACTCGCACGCAAACACAAACACGTTATCGCACGAGTCGAAGAAGAGAATATTAGGAGTGCGTGGGATTTTTCGGATGTCATTTTGTCCCATTTGGTACGCGATTTTTGTGACGGTGTCTGTTTTTCGGATTCGGCCGCGGAAAAGTTCGTTTCGCGCTGTGATAGCGACGAGGACTGTGCTTTAATTTTCGTGCAATATTTTTACCAGTTTACTAAGGCTTAATAATTGTAAGTACCGTTTATTCTTCTCCATTTTCTCAAAACTGTCAAAAATCTTCATCTTTTTCGATTTTTTAAAATCTAGTTAATGTCCGAATTTAAGACTCTTTTATTTTTCCTACGAGCATAAATTGCAAGACAGCCGTAAAAAAATTCTCGATATAATTGTTACCTGGATGTTTTGCTTTTGCTTTACTGCTCATCCAATATTTCCACCGGTACACTAAGGCCCAGTAATTGTGGAGTAGTGCTGCTTTTTTTTCAATCTTTCAAAGTTGCCGACCCCTTCTTTGCAGTATAGACCTCATTTATTAAAAAAAATATATGACCCCAACATTTCTCGATTTCCTCTAAATTTGTTATTTAGTCCGTCGCTTTAAACAGTTGAAAAATACTTAAATACTATTAAAGTGACTAAAACTTTAGAAAATCGGAGATTGCCAATCTTTTTTCTATTTCTTCCGTTATACCTTTGTTACAGCCTCAAAATATAACGCAAATATGGTTGCTATTGTTGTCATTTCCCTTCGAATACATACATACTTCGACGGGTTGAAAAATACAGTGGAAAATGCCAAGATGCCGCGTCTTCTGTAATTTTTGTACTTATATGCTCTAATTTGAACATTGGAAGTCCTGTTCATTTTCCCTTCGGGTGAGGACTTATTCGAATATATTTCTAAATTGCTAAATGCCATCTCGGCTTCCGTTGTTTAACTCCACCCAACATACCAGAAATTTACTTCCAAAAAATTTAATTTGAAATTCGGAAATCCTAACTGTTGAACTCATCTTGTTCCGCGTTAAATTTAGTGTCTTGAAGATCAGTTTCTTTTCAGGAAGCTATAATTTTTTTAATTTTTATTTTTATTTCAACTAACTAAACAGAACTTCTCACAGTTTCCAAAGAAACTAAATGAATATTTTTGCAGTTTATCTTGGCGCGTGATTTTTCTCGTGGTATTTTTCCTCGGCGTACTATTTAAAATTCTTCCAAACAACGCTAATTGGAATCGAAAATCTAAGTTCATTACTTGCCGTTACTGTCTGCTCTTTGTTATTCTGACAAACAGCAGCAGTTTTCTCTCGATGCGGTTTGAAAGGTCGTTTTTATAGGTTTAACGAAATTTCTTTAAATATTTGCGCGGTGTTTGAAACCGGTCAATTTTTGAATTCGGCAAGATTGATTTTAAAATAATTGCAAATCGACGTTGAAAAATAATTGAACGGAATGCATTTAAAAAAAAATCTTCAATATTTAATATTTAAAGAAATCTTAAAACAGCGGAAAATTACAAAAAGGATACGTTTTTAAATGACACTTTTTCTAATACTGTTGCGTTCAGATACCAAAAACATATCTATATAATAGAATAATAGAAAGGCATTGAGCGTGTGAAAAAATATTTCAATAGTTTCAAATGCACCAGTCGCTACGTTTTCAAAATAAGATATATTTTAAAACTGCAACATGTTGGACCTTGGTATTTTATTATTCGAATAAAAAACTCTTTAGAAATATTATTAAAAAAATTAAAGAAAAACCCTTCGATATAATAATATTAATGAAAACATTATTTTTTTTTAGAAAGATGTTTTTGCCTTCTGTGAACATATTAAAATTCCCTTCAAAACTCTTCTAACCAACCAAAGACGTTTGTAATTTGGTATGTCGTATACGCAAAAGTGTGCAATTCCTTAAATTTATTTATTTTTTATAAAACTGTCTAATAAATAAATAAAAAGTTACTCTGAAATCGCGTTTTCTATTGAGTCGCAGAACCGCCAAATCGATACGAATGTTTCATTGTCGTTTAACAATTTCAGATAACTCAACAACTACCATACCAAGGAAAGGACCCGTACGTATGCCTTTCCTTATCGCCTAAAATACGACTCAAGTTCCTTACCAACGATCCATAAACGCTGTGGGATTCGCTGGTATCATTGTCGAACGCTGTGACTACCGTTTCACGGCGCCAATTCGCCAGATTCGATCAAAATAACCAGCAAAATTTTCACCACGGAGGAACAGAACATACTGAACAACCTCAAAGTCGAACATGAGAATTTAGTGGCGAAGTGGCTACAAAACTCATTCAAGATACAAGAGAGTGCCGCGTTGGACCTTAGAGCCACACCGCTGCAGCCGTTGCAGATACCTCCGATGGCCGAGGTCAACAATCGGCCGGTATTCAAGATGAACAACGATTTTTGGAACCAGGCGCGCGGACCGCCTCAGCAGATGCCTCAGAACCTATCCAATTCCAATCAAAATTCACCTGTCCCCGGGTCTACCAACTCGATGCCGGCTCACTCGCCGAGCCAGCAGAGCAATTCGAGCCAGATCCACGTGGTCACCCCGGGCGCGATGGCCTTACAGCAAGCTAACCAGAACAGCCAGCAGCAAATGCAGCAGCAGCAACAGGCCGCGAGCCAACAACAAAACCAGCAGCAACAACAGCAGCAGCAGGCGGCCAATCAGCAAGCGCACGCTCAACAGCAACAACAGAACGCGCAGCAGCAGGCCGCGCAGCAGCAAGTCAACGCCACTGCGCAGATGGGCCCGCAGAGTAACGGTTCCGGTGCTCATCAGCAAACCGCCCAGCAGAACCAGATGGGTAGTCCGAATCCGAGTCACATGGGTAGTCCGACGCCCCAACAGTCCCACGGTTTGCCTTTCGGACAGCAGAATATGATGGTGCCGCAATTCGGTAGCGGACAGAACACCCCCGACAAGTTGATGACCGAGAAGTTGGTGAATGAGTTGCAGGTAGGTGATTTTGGTGGTGACGAGAGAGCGAATGGGCATGGTTTGCGTCACGGTTGTTTTTTTTTAATTTTATTTCTTTTGCCGCGGTTCATTTCTTTATTATTTCGTCGATAACGGGTCGAAAGCTACGCGCGGGCAGCACATACGTTTAAAATTCACGCACCGGTAGCGCCTGATTGCCTTGCGATGCAATTAGTGTTTTAAACGTACGCCTATGATAATAACCCTTTATGGCTATGTGTCGGAGAGACTTTAAGCACATGGTACATCGAAGCATATGGCATACTAAAGTCGGGTATACCAATTAAGCGTTTTTTTTGCTTGTTTTCTCGAAGCCGCCTCAGTTTTGAATACTAATTCGAAAGAACTTTTTCGCTCGGCTTTTAACTATCGGCCGAGCGTTTTCCTACTTTTCCGAGTTTTCTTATTTTATACAACTTGTTTGCGCCATTCCGATTCTTAAACGTGAACGCAGATAGTTCTTTATAATATATAACTTTTTAATGAATTCTTAATTAGTATCTGTACACTCAGTTCTGTATGTATCATACCAATATATTTTGTAATGGTTATACAGGACCAAGGTTTTTATTATGCCATTTTTTCATTTTTCAATAGGGCATTGAACTTTATTTTTAAAATTACCCTTTTTATTTATAAAACCCGGGGCTCGTTTTGTTGAAACTCTTTGAAACTCTCCGAAACTGACGATTTATTAACTTCTAATTTAATAATTAATGTACAATAAACAAGTAAGAAAAATACGTGCAAAGTAAGTTTAAAACCATTGACGTTGGGGGGGAGGGGGGGAGTTGTATTGCAGGCAGGACACTCCTCCATTTGACATCAAAAGTGTAACCCAGCAATCCAATTGCACATAGCAAATTTCAACAAAATATGTGAAAAATTCCTTAGCACATGCTGTCAGTTTTAAAGGTTGGATGTTTCACATCGGCAAAACAGAGAAAACCCAAATATTGGCAAAATATTCAGAAAAATGTAGATAAAATCTCACCAATTTGTGGTTATGGCATAATGCATCCAGCTAAAGCAGTTTCCCAAGTGAGCGAGATCTACTATATAAACATGAAGTCGGAAATTGTCACAATGTACACAGGATGGCTAAAATTCAAAGAAGTCTTAATGTAAAGTTGTTGCAAAAAAAAATGGCAGCTTTACAGTTATTTTTGAGTAAATTTTACAAAATGCAAAACAGACAGACAAGCAATAGATTTATGGCTTTTATACTAACGAGTTTTAGTTTATTCTGCAAACAAGATTAATAAAAGGAGGATGTATAGAGTAATAGATTATACCACATGGACTTAGCAAAACTTAACTATTTATTTTTATTACAAACAAAGCAACAAGAAGGAATATTATACGAGTCTCTAAAAGTGGCATGTTCCTTAAAAAAAGAATCGAAACAAGGTTCATTGTTCTAACAAATAAAAACTAGAATTGAGAGAATAAACTACGGGAAAATGCTGATTTCTGATTTGAAAATTTTCCCAATCGGAGGTCATTTAGCAGGAATACTTTTGGATTATTTTCAGGGATCTGATTTATTTTCCACACCCTGTGGTTTGCACATTTTTTTAAAAATCCTATAATATTTGTTATAACCGACATCGAGTATTAGAAAGTTTTCGATTCATTTTTATTACAAACAAAGCAACAAGAAGGAATAGTATACGGGTGTCTAAAAGCAACGTGTTCCTTAAAAAAAGAATCGAAAAAAGTTCGTTGTTCTAACAAAGTAAAACTAGGATTAGAATCGGAGGTCATTTAGTAGAAATAGTTTTGAATTTTTTTTAGCAATCTGATTCATTTTCTACACTGTGTATATTTATTATACCAGACATCGACTATTTTTTGCAAATTTCAACCCACTGTCGCATTTTCTTTGTTATTAATATTAGATATTATTAATTTTCAAAAACATATATTTTACATTTGTCATTCCACACCAAAAGAGTTGCCTTACACCCCAACATTGTTGTCATCGTTTCGATTTAATTCGCCCACGCTTCGAAAAACAATATTTTTTCATAACCGAAAATTCGAGTCCTCGATTTGGCGAAGGCGCGGGTCAATGTGGGTCACAAACTCGTCCCATAAAACGTCGCTCGTATTTGCATCCCCAAAGGCTCGACGGCTCGCTGCGGGTTTCTCAAGGATAAAAAATTCTTCCGAGCGGTTTAGAGTACTTTTTTTCCGGGATAGACCGACGTACGGATCGCGTTCTATCCGTGGGAATGGTTTGGAGACTCCGCTGTAAATTTCTCGTTTGTTTTTTTTTCCGCCCCACGGAGCCGGCAAAAAAGTTTTATCGTTTACCGGCGCGGAAAAAAAAAACCGCTATATTCAGCGGCCATACTGTACAGGCACGCCGCGTTTAATTATTTTCCATAACTTTAATAATGGGACTCGGAGTTTTGCGACTTTTTGTCCGGTTTCTTTCCACCGGGACGCGTATCCCCCACGATTGCTTGTTAAGGCGTGAAAAATGTGTTTTACGAGTATACTCCGCGCGCGAGCCTCCTTACGACAGGTAGTTTAATTCGGAATTTGAGTAATAAGCATTTTTAACGGTCGTTCTTTAATTTTATATTGCGTACAACAGTGCAATTTTATTTCGGTGCGTTCGGGGTTCGTTCGGGGCAGCGCAGCCAAACTTGTCATAAACGTTTTCAATTATTTTTAAAAAATCATTGCGGTCATAGTAAAATTGTTTTTGGGTACTTTTATTCGGAAAATTGCACACGGTGATATCACGAATCATGAAAGGTTAATAAAAACGTGTGCCCAATTGTTCTCGCAGCTAAAATCATTGATGATTTTTACATTTATTCAATAAGCAATATGAGTTATCAATATCTTTATCCAATACTTCAGCTGCGACTATTTTGAGGACAAGGTAGTCAATTAAAACACTTTGGATTATGCAAAAAATTAATCAGCTATCTAGTATACCCAAGAATCAAACAGTAAAAGTTACCTAAGTAGTTAACACGATAAAAAGCATGAAAAAATTGAAATTGCATTAAAATTTTAGAAAAGAACAGCGCCCATTAAAGAGACCTTTTTTTAGGAGGTCAAACTGTAAAATAAAAATCCCTTAGGTGCCAATGAAATAAGTTTTTTTTAGCTTAAACAATAGCGTAAATTGTTCTTTATATCATGTCCAATAACCTGTACTTTATTTTGTGAACTGTTAATTTTATTTTGTTTGTAAGTGTTTGTATAGTGTAAACCACCTATATAGATAATTTACCAAAGTAAAATAATTTAACAGCATATTATAAATTAATTTGCTATCTGAGCCGTGTTTACACTTGTATTTTAACCTCTCTCTTTATATGGATAAATGTTTCGGCCGCTTTCGGGTGTTCGTCGCCGGTGCCTCGGGTGATTCGGACAAATGCACTTTATAGCATTTGTGGTTTTCCCAGAAAATGCGGCAAATTTCGCAATAATTTTGACGATATAATTCTTACTAAAACCATTTACATATAATTATTTAATGATTAAACAATATTTTATTTATACTTATTTCTTTATTTATTCAATACAAATTTTAGAGGTTGAAGGTTCAAGTAGCAATACGAAAACAAAAGCAACGCTTGGAAGGCATCATAGCGAAATCTGAAGCTCATGCTTAGAAGTTAAAGACAAAAAAAAACATATAATAATAACAATAAAATAAAATAAATTAAAAGAACCAGAGTTCCAACTCAATGGCTGGACCGGCGGTAGTGAAAGAATCAAAATGCTAGTGTTTTTTGTAAGATAACATTTATAATTTTATACCTTATTTAAAAACTCCGCCAAATCGCATGGAAATTTATATACTCTGAATTGAAGCTTAAACATTTAAGTCTTTTCTAACGTTTTCTTTGTTGAAAAATAAAGACAAATGTTTTCTTTAAATTTTCTAATCAATAGGATACTTAAATCTGATTTATTTTCTATTCATCTAAATAGCATATTATTACATAGAAATTTTATTTATAGAATTATATTTTTTATATATGATAAGTCGTTGAATTCATTTACAAAACAAAATGTGCGAACATTCGGAGGAAGAATTGTCTTTGGCATTTAAACGTACCACTTTTTAATGTAAATATAAGGGTGATTATCAAAAAGTTAGTTTTTTCACTTTTAATTGTGATTAGTAATTTTTTTTATATTCTAGTTATTGGAGTTAAACTAGAATTTGACCCGTATTTGCGTTCCAAATCATTGAAACCTGATCGAATTTTGTATTTCGCGTTTTCTAGTCAATAATATTATGACTGAATTATTAATTACCTTTAAATTTATTTGCATCCCACTATACTAAAATTATTTTGATTCAAATCTTTAATATTTATGTGTCACATAGGTCTAACAGGTGGATAAACTTGGATTAGAGAACAATCGGCCAAAACTATGAAATTTTTTTTACTGATTTTAGATTCGTTAATCAAATAGAATTAAAGTAGATAAATCAAAAATTGGTCTGCCTAGAAGAACATGCATAATTTCCTTTTTTATATTATCTTGCTTGCTTTGGGAAACCATAACGAGGAGGTGAGGATACTACTATTTTCGATATTGAGCACTATAGAGCTACCTGTAACGTTTCAAATTAATTTTTAATAATTAACTAAAAAATCATTGAATGTTTGTGGGTGAACATTTGTGGAGTTTTTTCAAAGGGACCACGCAGGAGGATCTGCTGTATAAACAACGCCAGTATATTTTGAGCCAAGAAAATTTTAATAATAATAATAATTTTTTCCTGCATAGATTCATAATGTATTTTATCTACAGAAGATATGTTATTGTTCTTTATGGAAGCTTCAATAGTAACCCTATCCGTGTAGAGAAAATATTTTTTTTATAACATTCCTCGCTATTCGTATTGTCCTTTATTTTTATCCCAGCATAATATTATCAAAGCCACTAATTAGAAATGGAAGGAACTCAGTTTTCCAAAAATAAAGCAACTT